CTTATATATTGTATATGATATATAATTAAATTTAAATGATATAAACATAGTAATATAGCACACTTTTAATATGGATATTTATTAAATGAGGTTTCTACTCATATGATTTTATGATTATTTGCATATTTGTGTAACAAAACTTTACACCAATGATTTATAAATTACGTTATGATTATTTGAATTTAAGTATTTTCCATTTATATATACACTTCCATAAATTAAAAGGAATGAAGTTATTATAGTTAATATATGCAAATCGTTATCAAATCGTATATTTTCCTTTTCTTCCATTACATGCGTGCGATATATATAAATATATAAACTATGTTACATGCGTTATATGCGTCTCTAATTATTTTTCCCTAGCAAATTTCAATTGAACCTAAAACCGCCACGTCAGTTTAATTGATATGCTAATTGATTGACAACTAAGCAAGATTACTTTTTAATTAATACAAACTTGAGGTTATATCTTTTCAAATGTTTCTCAATTAATATATAGGGGATATTCGTTATACTCCTACAATAATCGTGTTTGCTAAACTGTCAGAAAGAGAAGCATAAAATTAGTAGTCCTCACCCATTCAGAAGACGTAAAGGCACGTCAATAGAGCAATCCTTTGCAACTTGAAAACATTTTTTTTTTTTTGGACATCCAAAAACTTTAAAAATAATTTTTTTTTTTTGCTTTGTCATAAAATTCGATATTTTTTTCATTGAAACCGACAGAGCATTAAAGAGGTGGCTTTTTTTTGGCTAATAAGTTCTGTAATGAAGTGGAAGGGCTTTTAAATTTGGGGATACGGAGGAGCACACGATCGTTGACGGAGAAAGAAGAAAGCTCTCAACTTTTTTTGTTTTAAAATCTTTTTCAAGTCAAATCCTTTTCTAACACCACCCAATTCCGCGGCAAACACAACCTTATAATAAGGCTCCTCTTTATTTCTGTCTTCTCCCTCAACATCATCATCAATGTCGCAGCTCCTCCCCGTTATCTGGTAAAATATTTTCGGAAAAATCAAAAGATCATATCTTTTTGTTTTTTTCTGGTAATTGATCTCTTTCCGTTTTTGAGGTTTTATATTGATATAAGAGGGTTTTGTAAATAATCTTTTTTTTAATTGTAATTGATTTAGCTGGTAGAGAGACGAAACCCTAGAAACAATGAGTCCCACGGCGGCAGACGCCGATCCCAGCCAGATTAAACGTGCTCTGATTGATGCTTCGGCTGGAGCCATCTCCGGTGGTGTTTCCCGCACTGTTACTTCTCCTCTTGATGTCATTAAGATTAGATTTCAGGTTGCCCTTCTTCTTTCTTTCACCGCCATTGATATAAAGCTTGGCTTTTTATGCTTTGACGCCGTTGTTAGGATTGTAGCTTTAGGAAAGTGACGAGCTTTATGTGTGGAGATGGCTGAAGAAACTTTAATGTGTGTGTGATTATTGCAGGTTCAGCTTGAACCGACGAGTTCATGGTCTGTGGTGCGGGGAAACTTGGCAGGAGCATCTAAGTATACAGGGATGTTTCAGGCAACTAAAGACATTTTTAGAGAAGAAGGTTTTCGGGTCTGTCTCTTTACCACTTCCATTACCTGAACTGAAATTCACTTCTTTTATAGACTGTTATAGTTTTAAGTCTGTGGCATTAGCTTTGTTCTGATGTTTTGTATGCTTGTTTTTTTTAGGGTTTTTGGCGTGGTAATGTGCCAGCTTTGCTTATGGTCATGCCATATACTTCAATTCAGTTTACAGTACTGCATAAGTTGAAATCTTTTGCATCTGGTTCTACTAAATCAGGTAATGACTATACAGAGTAAATATAAGGGGTCTTTCTAGTACTTTGTAGCTTGTTAGTGCATCGTATTTTTGTTGCTGTTTTAACGTGACTATCTTAGGGGTAGATGATGCTATTTTTTTCTTACATTATGTTGGATTTAGTGTTATTGGCGAAAGATAATTCACTTTGGGAAAAATTCTTCAGATTGTATTGGTTGAATGTGTGTTTCCTTATTGTTGTATTCTTTTGGAATGCAGAGGATCATATACATTTGAGCCCTTATCTATCCTTCGTCAGTGGAGCTTTAGCAGGATGTGCTGCTACATTAGGATCTTATCCGTTCGATCTTCTAAGGACAATATTGGCCTCACAAGGGGAGCCTAAGGTTTGTTTCTAGACTTATGAAGCCTGTAATATAGTGACATTGCAACCATAGATTGACTCATTGATGACTGTCTGTCTACAGGTGTATCCAACAATGAGGTCTGCATTTTTCGATATTATCAAATCTCGGGGCATTAAAGGATTGTATAATGGATTAACACCAACACTTGTTGAAATCGTGCCTTACGCTGGCCTGCAATTTGGGACTTATGATATGTTTAAGCGTTGGATGATGGTAAGAGTCTTCTTAAATAATCTATCTTTCTTTATTTCTAGTGACAATCAGGACATTTGATTTTTCACCAGGACTGGAACCGATACGTGTTATCCTCCAAAAACCCTATCAACGTAGACACCAACCTTTCTAGTTTCCAGCTTTTTGTTTGTGGGCTTGGTGCTGGCACTAGCGCCAAACTCGTCTGCCATCCTCTTGATGTGGTTAAAAAGCGCTTCCAGGTCAGTTAATCTTATTACCCATTCAGTTAATCTTTCCTCACTTCAGTTAACCTTAGTACTGTTTTTTTTTTGGTTGTTGCAGATTGAAGGTTTGCAGAGACATCCAAGATATGGAGCCAGAGTGGAGCGACGTGCATACAGAAACATGTTAGATGGTCTCAAACAGATTCTGATGTCTGAAGGGTGGCACGGTCTGTACAAAGGCATTGTACCTTCCACTGTGAAAGCTGCTCCTGCTGGTGCCGTTACCTTCGTGGCTTATGAGTTCACCTCTGACTGGTTGGAATCAATTTCTTGGTAGAGAGGTTCCTCTTTTTCACATTTATATCTTTTCTGTTGCTAGCATTTATTATAGGCTACCCTATTGACGGGTGTACTAAGCACATATCATATGATCAATTGATTACTATGGGAATTATACAAAGTAAAACACCAAAGTGTTGTTGGCAATTTTGGAAGTTTCTAACAATGTGGCTGATTCTGGGAAGTGAGATTATAAAGCTGTGTAGTGAATCCAATATATCATGTTCCAGCAAATATTGTGTAAAATAGGAAAAATAACTATGAAACTTGTAATTCCAAAAATCTATGCCAAAAATGTGGATATTACATAGACATGCAATAAGGTGCACTACACATTTGCTGTTAAATAAAGTTTACTGCAATTTAAGAAAGAGATTATGTGCTGGTTGTTCTCTGTTTGCTTGGTCTCACAACACCTTCACACTCCCAAAACCCAACGACTAGAGGAACAAAAACCAAAATGTTGGGCAAAATCAGCTAAACCATAACTACAATGTGTCCTTAGCCCTGTCTCTCTGTCTATCCTTAAGACCCAGCTTTGCAGGTCTTCTTGTTGTGTCCTAACCCTTTGCAGTTGCTACACTGAAGTTGACGCTTGATCATGTCTATCGGTTCCACCTGCTTACTCTTTGGTCTCCCTACTGTCCTCCTTGTGGGCGGAGGCGTCACTGAAACAACCCCTTCAATGGGCTGTTCCTCCGCCATCGTCTTTCCGTTAGGGACAGGGTAAATAGACTCAGCATACATCAACCGGTAACTCTCTGAGGTCAAGTATCTAGAGCAATACTCATAAGAGCTTTTCTCTATGCATTCAATCACTGCAACCGCGTGGCTGCACGGTAAACCAGTTAATCTCCACATCTTACAGTCACAATCACACTGATTGATATCAACTATGTTGATGGATTCATCACCACGAACCTCGAATAAGCTATCATGTGGCCGTGACACCTGAAGTGACCTTGCAAGTTCTATCTCTTTCTGTAGCTTCTCCTCATTACTAGGTGTTAGCACTGTACCAACCCATTCCCTGGATTGTACCTGACGGGTATAGATTGTCTGCATCAACTTTGCTCTGAGTTCATCTATCATTTGAGTAATAGGCAACTCATGTGCTTCAGAAACCCAGCTGTAGAAATCTAAACCAAAAGTGGAGTTCATGTGGTTATATCTCTCTCCTTCGAACAAAGCATTAGCCCAATGGTGAGGCTCACTTTCAATAACCCAAGCGTAAGCATCAGGAGAAATGTTTTTAATATTCTCCAAGGAACGGTAGTATCCTTCAGGACGTGTGGCATAAGCAGCAGCGTAGAAATCATTGAGCATAAACCGTCTTGCTTCATGAGAAAACTGAGCTTTCAAGTCCATGTTTAGCTTCTCCCCGAGGTGACGCAGGCAATAGGCATGATGGTGTTGTTCATCACCAAACACAAGAGGCAATGCATTCTTCAAACCGTTTTGAAAATCTGCAACAAATGTGATTCTCCGTGAATCATCAGCTAATGCTAACTTCAGATTCTCCAAGAACCAAACCCAGTTCTCTTCAGTCTCGGTATCCACAACTGCAAAAGCTACTGGAAACACTCCATCTTCTGCATCAGGAGCTGTAGCAACAAGCATAACCCCTTGGTACTTTGAGTTTAACACAGCGTTATCAAGGAAAATGAGAGGACGACAACCTTGTCTAAACCCACATATGGAAGCATAGAAAGATATGAAAAGACGATGGAAACTCGAATCTTCTTTTGTCATGAAAGTGGCAACACTTCCAGGGTTAGTCTCTTTAATCTTCTCACAGAAAAAAGGAAGCTGAGTATATGCCTCTTTATAAGAGCCTTGAAGCTGCTCTCTAGCAATCTCTTTAGCTCTCCACGCTTGTGAGTAATTCAACTGAATCCCATACTCTCTTTTTATATCCTCTGCAATATCCTTAGGCTTGTAATCAGGAAAGGCCTTCAACTTCTCCTTGATAATACTCCCAACCCAACCTCTCGTTGCACGGTACCCAACTTTCACAGCGCCTCTCTCACAGGAATGCCTATGGTTCATTTTCTTGATGCATATTAGCTGCGTGGTGGAGAGTCTCGACGCAGTGATACGCCACGGACAGCCTTGCGCTTTGCATTTGACTGAAACGCGGTGGCTGTCGTTTTTCTTGTACTTGTAAGTGAAACCGTGTGCGATGGAGTATTTGTGCAATGCATCTCGGAACTCTGTGAAGCTGTTGAACCTTTGATCAACGCCGGTGATTGTGTTTTCCCACTGCTGTGCCGGTTTGATGTGTTGTTTCTCGTCAGTTAAAAGAAAATCACAGGGTAAAGGGCTGGTTACATCAGGCATTACAACTCCCATGTCGATCTGAAAATCATTTGTTGTTATATCATCAGCTTCCATAACAGTATCTCCTGCCGAAACTACAGGTACTACTGCTTCAGATGTAGTTGTCCTACTTGACCTGAATCAAATAAAAGAAGAAAATTCACACAGTGTTCTATGCGCCCGCCTAGTCGGCAAATCAAGTTTAAACAAAACAATTTTTAGGATGTTTTTTTTAAATCGGTCTAGATGTTCAAAAATTATTCTAGGTGCCAGCCTAAACAATAATCCTCTATAAAAAACATCTTAATGGCCTAGCGATTTTTATAACATTGATCACACATAAGTTGCTATGATCTTCTTCAACAATGTGGATAAAAGACAATAATCACAGCAACATTCAATTTCTTTAACAAGAAAATCACATTCTCGAGTAGAAACATGTAAGAGGAAAGAAACACACATACCTACTAGCTGGCATGTTGGACACACTCATCGCTTTAGCTTCCTCAGGCAAGACAAAGACTTCAACATTAGGGGCATCTACAGAGAAGCTGACCATACGTTTAAAGTCCTTATCCTTAGAGATGGTGATAAGTGTCTTCCTGTTTCCAGGGAGGAAGTACTTGAGAGTCATTGTCTCCCAACTAAACCCGAAATTCTCAGCTAATTCGGACCTAAAGTCGCTCAAAGAAGTGTCATGATCGATGTCTATAGCGTAAGCGTCTCCGTTGGTGTAAACTAATAAACCATCTTTGTTAGTTACGAACTGTCCCCCTGCTTGACATATAGCTATCACTTTCTTTGTAGTCATCACTAAAAAACCTTCAAATCTGGAAAACAAAAACTAAACTTGCGTTGGTGTCTGATAAAATGTTATCATAGCAATCAGGTTAAGATGTTGTTGTGAAACGAAAAGAAAACAGAACCTAAATTGAAACAGACCACAGTGTTGGAGTTTGGTCAGAGATTGAGAATCAAAAGGGTATCTTTGGTAAGGGCAGAGGGAGACAGAGAGACCACGCACGGTTTGAAAGTCGGACTCTTTGCTTCCAGAAACGAATCCAAGCCAGACGGCAAAAAATTTCAACTAATTAATAAAAAAAAAAAAAAAGTGACGAAACGCTGCGTGTTGGGGGGTGCTTTGAAACTGTGACATTAGTGGTGGATATAATCATATAAGTCGGGTCTTATCCTAGTAAGTTATAAACAGTTGACATTAGTTTCTCTAACTTTCATCTTCACCAATAACCACGAGTTCAAAATGTTTTATACAAATGGTCTTTTGCACAATCAAGAGTGTGAAGTGTGAAGTGTGAAGTGTGAAGTGTGAAGTGTGAAGTGTGAAGTGTGAAGTGTGAAGTGTGAAGTGTGAAGTGTGAAGCAGAAAAACAAAAAATAAACAAGATTAAATCAAAACGTTAGCATTATACCAACCAAGGCCAGCATCAAATTTAGTTCAGAGAATAGGAATTACAAATTTTAATACATAAAATATTACACTTCTATCGAACAGTTATGTATATAAAAAAGATTACAACAATACAATGTTGGCTCAAGTTTGGGCACAAACAACTGCTAGTTTTCCATAGCTGCATCAGGAAGTGGAGAATCATGAGCTAGTGACTGCAGAGGAGAGACACAACATGAATGAGTTTAATTAACATATGCCTCAAGATTATATTTGTACTTGTTTCTGACAATCTGATCTAATAAGCTCTTTTACCTGCTCTTGTGAGCGGAAATACATGAAGGGTGTGTAGTTGAGGAAGTTGGAGACTCTTGATGTGTATATATCAGCATACCTGAAAACACCAATTTTAAGGGAGGTAAGTGCGGTTGATATGTAATGTAAGACATTACAAGTTGCTCAGGAATGAAGAGAAGAGGTATCATACTTTTCGATTTGTCTCATCAAGTGGCTTTTGTCCCATAAACCAGCACGCGAAAGGAAGCCCCATCTGGTAAACAACTCAAGAATAATGGGTCAGAATCCCCAGTCAGTTAACTGAAAGAGTAGTTTTTAAACCTTTTGTTGAAGAGCTCTCCGTCTGATTCGAGCATTAGACTAATCTTGTCATCTAGTCTTTGCATAACAATGAGAAGTTTCTGCATGGTCTCTGTCAGTTCTTGATCAGCCAAGTTGGTAGCAGCGAGGGTCTAGAAGGAAAAGAGAAAGCAACACCTTTATAAGCAGTTTCCATTAGGAATCTATATTCTCATACTAGCCATTGTGTTCAATACAGGGAGAGAACAAGACCCTAGATCTTGTAAGGAGATGAACAAACCTGAGCAGGACGGCCTTTGCTTCGTCTTTGAAGAGCAAGCCGAAGCTGGTTAAAGAGATCCCCAACAACTTCCTTTTGATTTATAAGCTCTATCAGCTCTTCTCGGTGACCACGACTACAAATTAGAGCCATATACTGCAAAGAAACAAGACCACACCGGATTTTTCAGTTACTTCATACTGACAAAAGCCCTGTCATTAACTGATTATAGTTAAGAACATAATTTATCGAAACCTCTTCTTCCAGTTCACGGCAAATCAGTGCAGTTCTCCACCTGAGGTGGAGTTTGGAGACGCTGACATCAGTGTAGATGTGGTCACCAACATACAAAATCTCATCTCCATGAACGTTGAGTGAACTCTCTACCATCTGAGCACTTCCTCCTGAGTATAAACCTCCTGTGTGACACAAAACATTGAGATAAAAGGAAATCGTTTTAGCTTTCTCAACAGAAATTTTATCAGCTCATGTTCAGTAGAAAACAATGAGAAATCACCTGTTTCAGCCTTAAAGCATGGACGCATCAAACCCTCTCCAGTCACAACCTCGTACAAAGGGTGTGACATCTGGAAGAACTCTGGTTTCCTCGCAGAAACTATCACCTATGTGGAAACATGATTTTTAGTCGGCCAGACGAGGTGACGTAAGTTTAAAAGCAAAGAAAAACTCTTCTGCAAACCTGCTTTTCAGTTAAAATGCAGAAATAGATTTAAGTTTGCTCACCATGTCAAAAAGATCTCGCCAGTCCATGTCATTCGGAAGAAATTTATTAAACGAATGCTTCATCATTTTGTCTGTGTAGTGGTAATCTGAGTTTGTGATAAGCAAGAGCTTTTTACCAGCCTGTTAGTGAACAGTACGGACATTAACAAATGAAACCATCTTCATGAGACACTTTTTTCAAGGAAGACAGAAACATTACCTCCTTTTGATCCAAAAGAGCTAAAGGTAATTCTGGGTCTGGCTCAACAAATAGTTCCGGCTTGGACATTATCTCACTCTGCGAAATTAAAATAATTAATTAGGGATATGGGAACCCTGATTTAGACTATTGCAGAATGAACTAACAATCAACCTTAAGTTGTCCTTCAACATGTGCTCTGAAGAGAGCTTTTGCAACAGCCTGAAAACATTGGTTACATATAAATAATATGCAAAGCTTTCAATTCAATGAAGTTTAGGTCCTGCGAAGCAAATAACCTTGTACAGTCCTTTGTAATCAAGAGTCCCAAGATCTACTGAAATAGCTCCATCATCGAATCTATCAACCATCTGAAAAAAGTTTGAGTTATTATTGCTCCAGGAGGTGACGAAGCAACAGTTGAGAAAAGCAATGTGAACATGATATCAGTTATAAATTAAAAGAGGAACTTGTGCCCCAACATAAACCAACAACATTCAGTAAATAGTTCGTGTAATAGATGAAGGTACCTGCGCATAAGCCACAGCCTCTGAAACAGAAAAGAATGTATTGAGAAACTCCCAACGGCTCTGGTTCCGAAGATCAACTAACTCTCTTCCATAGATCTCACTTTCATTCATATAAAGCCAGCAAGAGTGTAAGACTTCTTTCTTTCACATAGAGACTATGCAACTGAATGGTGTTGAAAAGTCTGGCATACCTGACAGCTTTATTTGATAACATCTTTGTACCATGCATGGCTCTATTCACATATCCAAATCTATCAGCCTTGACTAGATTACCTTTCTCTTTGTCGATCATGAGACCCCTGATAACCTATAATAAGAGAGAGAGGACATATTTTGGACTTAGCACTCAAAAACCTAGAGAGGATAGTACAATGTGGAACCTTTCAACTATCAATACCAGTTCTGGATCAAAAGAAAGTCCATCGACTGGGAAACCCATGCTCTTTAGATTTTCCATGCAATAGTCGTAAGCCCTTCCTTCCCAAGCCTGAACAAAGGCCATAAATTCGTGTCAATTATGGATGTATCTTCTGCATACATCTTTCCTACTTAAGTATGAGAATAGAAGAACCCACCATGACATTGTAGTGCATCAAAGTGTAATCCATATCATATCCAATTACACTAATGGACCGTAGATTCAGTGTACGACTACAAAATATACCACGGGGAGAGTGTTGCGCAGAGAAAGGACCCTGCAATATCCAACATGAATGTGTGAGACCAGTGAATGATCCTCACAAACTCCTTATAAAACCAGATACAAATAACCCAGTAGATACATCTCTATGCGGATGATATGTAATACATAGATTACAAGGATTAGAAAACGAACTTGGATACCCAATTCTCTAATCAAATTCTCAGCAGCTTGAGCCTCTGTCCTCGCTACCTCCTCAATTGGACCCTCCAACGTAGCCTGCCCATTTTCTACATGGATAATACAAAAGTTATCAGGAAACTACATAAAAAAAAACAAAAGAAAAAAATAAAATGTAAGCTTTTGCATTTGCTCCTACATCAAGACAAGTCCACGAGACACCCACATCAAAAAGGTTCGACCTTTCAATATATAAAAAACAACCCACAACAAAAAGGTTCGATCTTTAGCTCATATTCACCTCAATAAACAAAAAAAAAAACAACACACACAACAACAAGGTTCGAACTTTAGCTTCAACGTATCAATTTCCTTAACCAGACACCAAAAAATTATTCCAAAACTCTCTTAAAACTTCGGTTTCAATTTTGAAAACTAGCAGAAATGGAAGATGTATAAACCAAATGGGTGGAGAGGGTCAAGCTTGAGATTCAAATCTCCCTTGGTGCTTTGACCAAGATAGTCCACTTCATACTTAGACGACGTCGTAACCGAAAACACGTCGTCGCCTACGGTCACGCCTCCACCTTCAGCTCTGCACTTAATCATCCTTACAGATCTCCTCTTGTTCCTTTTCCTCAATTCAGGTAACTCCGCCATTAAAACCGGAGAAGGAGAAGCAGTAAATCTCATCTTCGTCGCCATATCTCCACACAGAAGCATTCTGTCGAACACCTGGTGGGCGCTTAGATTCTTTTTCACTTTTTGGCGCTTTTTATACTAACTCTGTAAAGGTGTTAGGCATGCCACTACACACTCTATGGCATGATCTAGTGTGGTGAGGGAAAAACGACAGAGCATCGACGTATAGATTTACAAAGCGGCATGATGTTTTAACCACGTAGAGATGGATTGGATCATTGGAAGATGCTCTCTACGCGCTGTTCATACATATCATACGTATGTATCGGTGCACATTCCATATTTACTGATTTATTTTTGTTTTTATAATCGTATTAATGCCACTTGGATCTTCTAACAACATATTCTCTTAATATAAAATAATCATATTTTAATGCCACTTGGATCTTCTAACAACATATTCTATTAATATAAGATTTAAGAAATGATCTGCACATTAGACCAGAGATTAAAGACTTTGGGGCAATTTATGTAATTGTTGGTAGATACAATACAATACAACCACCAAAGTAATAAACCGTGCTTTTATTGCCAACAAACATGACTGTGAGAAAGATACAGTACGAAAATTACAACTTGGATACAAACTTCTTGAGGTGGTCCAAAGAATCTTTAGCGTGGTCCGGTATAGGTAAACCACATAAGAGAGTAACACGGGATGTTGATATCATTTTCTTCTTCTCCGGTTCTTCCGTTTCCTTGGTTTTCCATAACCGAACCTCCCATACCTAACAATTTATTCGTAAATCTGGCATAAACATATACCTAATATTTATTCGTAAATTCGGTATAACATATCTTTAAAGAAAGAGTTTAATTCGTTTAGTCAAATGCATGTTTCCAAAATATCTTTTACCAAACAAAAATGTTAATGAAGTGCCCCGCAAACAACTCACTACTCATTTCATTCATTCACCTAACATTTTTTTTGTTCTTTGTTTGTCCCTATATACATAAATAATAACTTCAAAGTTTAATTATCAACTGCTTTTTTTTTGTAAAATAATCAACTAACTAAACGTAAGTTACAAAATAAAAAAAACAAACTAATTAATCAAAACATGCCCTTTCTAAAAAAAACTTATTAATCTTATGTTTAATCGTGCATTATTTTTTTGTAATTGTATAATTTAATACTAGTGTTTATCCTTTGACCAAGTTTCTTTTACTATGTCGTTGACCAAGAAAAACATCTAATTAAACAATGATATTTTTATATACGAGCGACCAAGTCTACGTATATGTATTTAACCTGTATATTTTTCCCGACGGAGACCGGAAAAGATTCGGCGAAGACGGATTCGCCGAGAGCAGCAGGTCGAATATGATGAATGGAAAGATGGACACCGGCGACACGTTTATAACCAGAGGCGATTCCGGCGCCGAGACTTGCGAGTCCTTCGGCGATCAGAGCAGATACGCCGCCATGCAAGACTTTGAACGGCTGGCAGCATTTGTCAGTCACGGTGAGGCGGCCGGAGACTCTGGTGGCGGATAGCTCTTCGAACACGAAGCCTAAGGTGTGAAGCGGATTATCCGCTTTAAACTCCTCTGCTTTCGGATCCATTCTTAGGATTTAACGATCGGTACTATTCACCAACTTTTTAACTTTTTCGATTTGGAATCTGGTTTGCTCGTTGTTCATCGATTTTTATAAGGGGTTTATTGGGCTTTTTGAGAAAGTTTGTTATTGGGCCTTTAGTACGAAAAGCCTATATACACATCTTGTTAAAATGGCCTTACAAGTATCATAGAGCTTGGATTTCAAGTAGTGTAGGTCATCCATCTTGAATGACCATATAGAATCAATATTCGAGCATATATGTTTTTATTCATATAAGAAAAATTGCATATCTATAAAGTTATGAATTAATTAGGAATGAGGACATTGGGATCATGAGATATGGAAGAATCTTGAGATTCAAAATTAGGTTTGCAGCAACAAGCACCACTCTTTTCGCCAACATTCATCTTAACACAAGCCCCTCCTTTGTATCCTTTAGATTTGCAAGCTGAATTGCATGCTGCTGAGTTTGTACATGGCCCGGGTAGACATGGCACCATTTGTCCTGTTAAGTTCATAACCATCACACAGTGACAAGACTTTTAGCTATTGTATAATCAATTGTCTTATTACATATTTGCTGGAACTAAAAACAGATATATTTATCTTTTTGTTTGTCATTTTAAATAATTGAATTGCAAGAAAATCCTAGCTTCAGTTTTCGAACGAGTTATAGATTGTGGCTGAAATGATCTAATAGTACATAAATAAATTTACCTGAAATTATAGGCATAAGGAAGAGAGCAGTTACCATCAACAAAGATAATATAAGAGATGAAAATTTATTGGTTGTCATTGTTTATGTTGCTAGAAGATATTGCAACTCCTTGTTAAAATATACGGACTGCAACTTTCACTGGAGAAAAAACTAAAGAAAGTTAAATCGAAAGCAATGTTAGAAGAAGTTCTTGTATCAATGAACATGAGAATTTAGAATATATAGCTAAATATTAGTAATTAATAGTTATGTCAAAACTTATAAATTTTATTTTATGGCAAAAACTATTGTGGGGATTGCAAACGATTTTTTCCCTGTTTGATAAAATTATTGACTTTTTCAATAATTTGTTTGTATGATATATTACAATTTTAACCTATAAAAAGATATATAACCTGATTATATTTTCTCTAATTTATGATATACAAATACTTTCTGAAAACTGTCTGTTTGGGCATATATATATTTAATAAATTTATCATGTTTGTGATTACTAATAAGTTACATATATGTTTCCATAAAAGCAGAATTTAAAGTGTTTGTTGGGCAGTGATCTTGGTCAAAAGGTTGATATTAATTGATTTTTTTGCTTATACTAAATACAGTACGTACATTCTATATAATCTATACCATATCCTATGTAAAATATACAAATTATTGTATTTTAGAAAATGCAAACTTAAATTTTATTAAGTTTTACCTAAACATAAATAAAATCAAAACTTAAATTGGTTAAACAATTTGTTTATTTAAGTAAAAATATTTTTCTATGGTTTATTTCAAATTATGAAAGTAAAATCTAGAACACCTTTTTACTTCTAAATAATATATTTGTTTTTTTTTTTGAAAAAGGTTTTAATAATATATTTGTTTTAACATCATTATTCTCGTT